AAATGATCAGGGGACTGGAGGCTAAAACATACAAGGAATGGTTGCTGGAATTGGGGATGTCTAGTTTAATGAAGAGAAGGACGAGGGGGGACAGGATAGCAGCCTTCCAGTATCTCAGGGGCTGCCCCAAAGAAGAGGGAGTCAAGCTATTCTCCAAAGCACCTGAAGGCAGGACAAGAAGCAACGGATGGAAGCTAACCAAAGAGAGAAGCAACCTAGAACTAAGGAGAAACTTCCTGACAGTTAGAACAATTAACCAGTGGAACTACCTGCCTCCAGAAGCGGTGAACGCACCAACACTGGAAGTTTTTAAGAAGAGACTGGACAGCCATTTGTCCAAAATGGTATAGGGTTTCCTGCCTGAGCAGGGGGTTGGACTAGATGACCTCCAAGGTCCTTTCCAACTTTATTATTATTATTATTAATCCGTAACTTCACAAATAGGGCAAGGGGAAATGAATTTCTGGAAAAAATTCTAGGTTCTTAGAAAACGATTGAAGATTAGTTCAGGTCCTGGATTGTTTTTTTTTTGTCCCCCCTCCCCTTTAATTCACTTTTTTTCCCTATTAATAGCACAGAGTTTTCATTTCTTTCAAAAACTCTTACGTTTTTTGTCCTGCAAAATCATTTCAGGAAGGATCGAGATCGTGACCGGGATCGCGACGACCGCTCCAAAGACCGGGACCGAGAGAGAGATCGCGAACGGGAAAGAGAGAAGGAAAAGGATTTACGCCCTTCGGCCAACTCGGCCCTCCTGGCTGGCGTGGGGCTGCCCCCTTTGAAGCCCACCGTGTTCCCACAGGGCATTAACCCTTTTACAAACCTGCCCCACACACCCCGCTACTATGAAATCTTAAAGAAACGCCTGCTGCTCCCGGTGTGGGAATACAAGGAAAGATTCACCGACATCCTCATCAGGCACCAGTCCTTTGTGCTGGTGGGCGAGACGGGCTCCGGGAAAACCACCCAGGTAAGGTTTCGGTTCGGCCGGTCTTAATTTTGGTAAACCTTGCGCCGATTCGCGGGCGGCGCCCCTGCAACTTCGTTCGAACGTTTTTTCTGTGAAGTTACTCGGCCTGCTGCTAGCGACATTTCAGGGGCCCTTAAAAGAAATCCATGGTGCACTGACACACATCACAAGACTTCTTCGCCTCTTGAGCAAGATCTGTTAAATGAGCCTTTCGGTGGTTTAATGACTAGAAAATGATGCAGTGAGCTTTTGCTACCTTTCTCCCCCCCCCCCTCCCCAACTCTAGCATTTTCAGGGTCTGTTACGTTTTCATAAAAGGTTCAGTGAGATTTGAATTGCTCAGTGTAAACCTGTGTCAAGCTATAAGTATCTGCTATTCTGGCATCTTGCAAAAGTTAGACTGATAACGTAGCACAATGAAGACAAAGTTGTTCTCTGTCTGTTTGTCTGTCTGTCTCTGTCTGTCTGTCTCTCTCTCCCTGTCTCTCTCTTTGTCTGTCTCTTTCTTTCTTTCTTTCTTTCTTTCTTTCTTTCTTTCTTTCTTTCTTTCTTTCTTTCTTTCTTTCTTTCTTTCTTTCTTTCTTTCTTTCTGTCTCTTTCTATCTCTCTCTGTCTCTCTTCTCTCTCTGTCTCTTTTTCTATCTCTCTGTCTCTGTCTCTCTATTTCTGTGTCTCTCTGTCTCTGTCTCTCTTCTCTCTTTGTCTGTCTCTTTCTCTCTCTCCCCCTCTCCTCTCTTTGTCTGTCTGTCTCTCTGTCTCTCTGTCTCTTTCTATCTCTCTCTGTCTCTCTTCTCTCTCTGTCTCTTTTTCTATCTCTGTCTCTCTATTTCTGTGTCTGTCTGTCTCTGTCTCTCTTTCTCTGTCTGTCTGTCTCTCTTTCTGTCTCTATCTCTGTCTCTCTTCTCTCTCTGTCTCTTTTTCTATGTCTCTGTCTCTCTGTCTGTCTCTCTGTCTGTCTCTCTATTTCTGTGTCTGTCTGTCTCTGTCTCTCTTCTCTCTTTCTCTGTCTGTCTCTCTGTCTCTTTCTATCTCTGTCTCTCTTCTCTCTCTGTCTCTTTTTCTATGTGTCTGTCTGTCTCTGTCTCTCTGTCTGTCGCTCTATTTCTGTGTCTGTCTGTCTCTTTCTTTTTGTCTCTTTCTATCTCTGTCTCTCTTTTTCTATCTCTCTGTCTCTTTCTCTCTGTCTCTCTCTCTCTCTCTCTCATATGTGACTACTGGCTGGCTTAATGTCTATGGAGATTCTCAACTCATCCAGGTCATGGTTGTTCCAAAAGCTGTTTTTTCAGGAGGCAACTGGACTTTCTTGTCTTTCCTTTGAAGACGTTTTGCATCTCATCCCAGAAGCTTCTTCAGCTCTGACTGGATGGTGGGGAAGGGAAGGATTTATACTCCTTGCAGATAGCTGGTCATTTGCCCTCTTTTAGAGAGTCCTTGAGGCCACTTGGAGGTTTGTCTGCATCCTCAGGGGTCACTCGAGTAATGCAAATGGGTGTGGAGCTTTCTTGGAACTGCTGAAAAGGCCGTGTTGTGGAGCTGTGCTTTCTGCAGAATGTTTTTCTGCCCTGTGTCCCTTCAATGTTGAACGCAGGAACAGGCTGTCGGGGATGAGTCTGTGTTTGCATCTCTGAGGACACAGGTAACCCTCCAGGTGGCCTCAACGACTCTCTAAAAGAAGGCAAATGACCGGCTGTCTGCAAGGAGTATAAATCCTTCCGTTCCCCACCATCAAGGCAGAGCCGAAGAAGCTTCTGGGATGAGAAGCGAAACGTCTTCAAAGGAAAAACAAGAAAGTCCAGTTGAAAAAGCACCACTGAGGACACAGACAAACCTCCAAGTGGCCTCAATGACTCTCTAAAAAGGATGCAAATGACCAGCTGTCTGCAAGGAGTATAAATCCTTCCGTTCCCCACCATCCAGTCAGAGCTGAAGAAGCTTCTGGGATGAGAAGAGAAACATCTTCAGAGAAAAACAAGAAAGTCCAGTTGCCTCCTGAAAAAAAGCACCTTTGGGACTACTGGCTGGCTTAAAAAAAAAAAAAAGAAGTAAAACGGGGCGCCCTTACTTGCATCCTAAATTTAATTCCCTGAAAACTCTAAATGTTAATCGGAGCAGCCTTCCAGATCTGTTTGCCTTTACTTCCTGGCCAGCTATAACCTCTTCATAAATATTTGTAATAACTGAGACTCCTTTTTTCCACCCCCCACCCCCCTTTAGATCCCTCAGTGGTGTGTTGACTACATGCGGTCCCTGCCCGGACCGAAGCGAGGGGTCGCTTGTACACAGCCGAGAAGAGTGGCCGCGATGAGCGTGGCCCAGCGAGTGGCCGACGAAATGGATGTGATGCTGGGCCAGGAGGTCGGTTATTCGATTCGATTTGAAGACTGCAGCAGCGCCAAAACCATTTTGAAGTAAGTATATGTCCTGATGTGTTTTCCTCTCTTCCTCCCCCCCCCCCCAAAAAAAATCCTTAATTTATCAGAAGATCCTTATTACTCCTTCGACACTGGTGCATTTCACCCCTCTCAGCTATGCTAGGCCACATTATATGAGTCAAATAAATAAAAAACAGCCAAAATAGGAATCGGATCATTTCAGAGAGACACGATTGCATACATAGTTCTTAGAGCGCTGGATGAGAATTAGGAGGAATTAGAATTAGGGGGAATTAGTACATCTAGTGGTAGGGGTCAGCCTCCCATCTCCTCACCCAACATGCTTCGTGGGGGTGGGGGTGTTTAAAAATAATTTTAACCATTTGGTTATGTGCCATTGGGTGGATCTACAGCAGGGCTCTTCAAACTTGGCCCTTTGATGACTCGTGGACTTCAACTCCCAGAATTCCTCAGCCAGACACAAGTCCACAAGTCATAAAAGGGCCATGTTTGAAGACCCTTGATCTACAGAGAAGGGTGAATATTTTACATGTGTGCATGCGCACAGGGCCACGAACACACGCGTGCCACAAATGGGGCGGGGCTAGTGCCCCTGTGATAACTTGCTAGCCGTGCTCCGTTCTGCGTGGCGCCGCGGTGTCCCACTTCCATACCCCGTGGTAGCCCATTTTTGTGGCGCGGAGGCATCCCATTTTTTGCACCCAGAGGCGGCAGTGGCCCATTTTTGCGCCCTGCGGCCGTGGTGCTAGCACCAGTGAAGGGATGTGCGCGCATACGCACGTACACTAGCCAGCCTGTCCCGCGGCGTGGTGACCAGCAGGCCGCGGCCCATGACCGGGCCGCAGCCCTCAGGGAATGAAAAAGGAGATTCACCCCTTTGGGCTGGTAAAAGCGTGGAGCCTAATACGTCCCAGGTGTGTGGCTGCTTAGATGTAGAAAGAAAAGGTTTGTAGGTGCACCTTTTTGTAAATTTTTCAAATTGGCAAAGGGAGTAAGAGTAGAGCTTACTCCGAACTGCCTATAGAGAATCATTGTCCATTCCGTCCATGGGGTTGACAGCTATCAAACCTGTGAGTGGTTTAAGAGGTTCTATGACAGTGAGAACAATTAGCCAGTGGAACTACCTGCCTCCAGAAGCGGTGAATGCTCCAACACTGGAAGTTTTTAAGAAGAGACTGGACAGCCATTTGTCTGAAATGGTCTAGGGTTTCCTGCCTGAGCAGGGGGTTGGACTAGATGACCTCCAAGGTCCCTTCCAACTTTACTACTACTACTACTACTACTATTATTATTATTATTATTATTATTATTATTATTATTATTATTATTAAAAACTGAAACTCTTGCTGGAGTTCTTGAGACGTATCTTTCTTTTCGATAAATATTACAAATCAGAGTCTTAAGCTTTTGCTTCTTTGTTGGCTGCCAGAGAAAAGGCACGCATGGCGCCATAACCGTGTAGATATAATGTTTTAAATGCTTTTTTTAAATGCTTTTCAATGTTTTCAGTGCTGCTTAATCAAGTTAAAGTTGTTGTGGTTCTTATTCTTTTTTTCCCAATGGGAAAAAATAAAATAAAATAGGGAAGAAGCAAAACTTACTAGCCCTGGATTTTAATCCCCTCTGGTTTCCCCCTCAGGTATATGACCGATGGTATGTTACTACGGGAAGCGATGAATGACCCCCTGCTGGAGCGTTACGGGGTCATCATCCTTGACGAGGCCCACGAAAGGACCCTGGCGACGGATATCTTGATGGGCGTGCTGAAGGAGGTTGTAAGGCAGAGGTCTGATTTAAAGGTCAGTGGAATATATCAAGCGGCCTGCGGGGTGTTGGATGCAAAGAAGAAGAAAAGAAAAGAAGAAAAATAGTGTTTTGTTTCAAGGGTGAAATAAGCTCCCGGGCTGAGAAACAGGGCTGTGGAGTCGGTAGAGAAATGTTCCGACTCCGACTCCTCAGTTTTTTGTACTTCCGACTCCGACTCCTCTGTATTAATATGCGAATGTATTTTATACATTCCTTGAAGGAAAGAAAAGCAACATACATGTCATTACCACAGGACTACTGGCTGGGAAGCCAACAGTCTACTGTATTGAACAGTTTAAGCAAAAGACAAACACAATGAAAACAACAAAGTTTTATTAATTTATTAATAGCGTTGTGTTAATAACACAACACTATGGAAAGTATAAGTATTGCCGCTCCTAATTGTGCGTTGCGTGCCATATAGTGAAGCACATGAAAAGCACGCTTCTTCACGGTCACTTAACGGGTTCGTTTTGCGGTTACGTGAGGCACTGCATGCATTGGTCTTTATTCTTACAGTAGAGAAGTCATTAATTATAACTTTTTGTGAATTGGGACATTTAAACTTGCTTTTTTTAAAAATTCCAATCTAAATTTAGTAGGAGTCGGAGTCGGTGCATTGTTTGCCGACTCCGACTCCAGGTACCCAAAATTTACTCCGACTCCGACTCCACAGCCCTGCTGAGAAAGCTGCTGCTTGAGGCCCTATAGATTATCTCTGGAGGGTTCCCAGTCCCAAAGTCATTTAGCAGAATGACAAGAGTGGGAAGGGACCTCGGAGGTCTTCTAGTCCAACCAGGAGACCCTAAACTAGAGGTCCCCCAACCTTTGGGGCACCAGGGACCATTTCCGTGAAGAGAGGTTTTTCCACAGATCGCAGAGTGCGTGATTTTGTCTGCTACCTGCATCCTGCGGATGGGGCTTCGCTTGTTTGTGTGGACCGCTACCGGTCCACGGACCTGGGGGTTGGGGACTCCTGCCCTAAACCCTTTGAGACAAGTAGCTGTCCAGTTTTCTTCTTAAAAGCCTCCAGTGATGGAGCACCCGCAACTTCTGAAGGCAACTTCTTGATCCCCTGGTCGATTGTCCTCCCTGTCAAGAAGTTTCTCCTTAATTCCAGGTTGCTTCTCTCCTTGATTAGTTCCCATCCCTTGCTTCTTGCCCTACCTTTTTTTGGATAAATCTTATTTTATTGGCAGGGTGATTAGACAGGGCTGGTTGAGGCCGTTCCCTCTTCTGCACCTGGGTAGCATTTGTTCTGTATTAGAGTGGTCCCCAGTCCCCCAACAAGGCTGACCACCTCATCTTCAGGGCAGCTTCTCTCCTGGTGGTGGTGGGGGAGATGTGTGCTATGGGAGGGACATAGATCCGCTTCCTATTTCCCTGCTTCCTCCATCCCCATAGCCTTGGCAGATGCCGTTGCCATGGAGACCTTGCCATCCATCTTGGCCATTTCCCATTCTGACCCCCTGCAACAGCTGGGCTTCATTCTTGTAACTCAGGGGTCTTCAAACTTGGCCCTTGGATGACTTGTGGACTTCCAACTCCCAGAATTCCTCAGCCAGGCACACTGGCTGAGGAATTCTGGGAGTTGAAGTCCATTCCTCTTAAAGTCTGTATCAGGGGTCTTCAAACTTGGTCCTTTGATGACTTGTGGATTTCAACCCCCAGAATTCCTCAGCCAGGCACACTGGCTGAGGAATTCTGGGAGTTGAACTCCACTCCTCTTAAAGTCTGTATCAGGGGTCTTCAAACTTGGTCCTTGGATGACTTGTGGACTTCAACTCCCAGAATTCCTCAGCCAGGCACACTGGCTGAGGAATTCTGGGAGTTGAAGTCCACAAGTCATCAAAGAGCCACGTTTGAAGACGCCTGGATTACAGCATCTCTCATCTCAAACCATCATGGTTGCCACCCAACCTAGTTGGAGTTGCTGGAGAACCAGAAGCCATCTAGAAGGACCTAGACATTGAAAAGGGTGATCTAGCCTGGCTGAGGAATTCTGGGAGTTGAAGTCCACAAGTCATCAAAAGGGCCAAGTTTGAAGACCCCTGTTGTAAACCGAACAAACTATCCCGATTTATTATTCTCCCCACCCCCCAGTACAGGTAAGTCCTCAACCTACGACCAAATTGAGCCCCAAATTTCCCTCGCAAAGCGGGACCCTTGTGCGTTTGAAATGTAAGCCTTTGTTACCCGAAATACCCACTTTTTGTTCTTCCTGTCTTTTTTTTTTTTTAGGTGATCGTGATGAGCGCAACTCTAGATGCTGGCAAGTTTCAGATTTATTTCGATAACTGCCCTCTGCTCACCATTCCTGGCCGTACGCATCCGGTGGAGATTTTTTATACTCCGGAGCCCGAACGGGATTACCTCGAAGCAGCCATCCGTACAGTAATACAGATCCATATGTGCGAGGAAGAGGAAGGAGACCTGCTCCTTTTTCTGACTGGACAAGAGGTATTTTACATTTGGAAAAATCTGATTTTCCTTGGGGGTGGTGGTTTTGCCTTTTCTGTTTTCTTGTTTATCTAGATCGGGGGTCTTCCAGCTTGGCCCTTTTGTGGCTTGTGGACTTCAACTCCCGGCGTGCCTGGCCGAGGAATTCTGGGAGTTGAAGTCCACCAATCATAAAAGGGCCAGGTTGGAAAAGCCCTGCTCTAAACTAATAACATCTACATGAATTAGCATTCATTATGCTTTCATATGTTCCTCTAACTCAGGGGTCTTCCAACGTGGCCCTTTTGTGGCTTGTGGACTTCAACTCCCAGAATTCCACTGCTGAACACTAAATTCCCTGTCTCACTTCTCATTTTTTCCTTACCTTCTCATCTTTCCTACTATCTTCTCCCATTGGCTCCTTACGATTTATCAGTTGTTGTTGGTAACTTAGGGTTAATGATTGTAACTATGATTTATAACCTGTCACTTAATTGTTTGTACGTATGCTGTGAGCTTCTGCACCGGAGACAAATTCCTTGTGTGTCCATTCACCCTCGGCCAATAAAGAATATTCTATTCTATTGAAGAATTCTGTTCTGTTAACTATTATTATTAAGATAAGATAAGATAAGATAAGATAACCTTTATTGTCATTTTTTTACTGTGGGCACAACGGCACATATCAAAAATGAAATTTAGTTGCCCGCTCTCAAAGTGAAACACATACATGACACACACCTAAAGCATACTATATACAACATATGTATAGACCCACACCCCTACATATACATAACAAAATAAATATTAATCACTGTCCATCTTGAATATATAACGGAGGGAGGAAGCTTGAGAGTTCACAAGATTAATGCTGTGTGGAATGAAACTATGGCTGAATCTGGATGGTGATGGCCACCATTTAAAAGGGCTTATTAAGAGGCCAGGATTTTGGAGGCACAAATGATCTTTATGCCTTAAATGCCACTTTGAAGGAAACAGTGAAAGGCTGTGGTGTGTTTAGGCTGTGCGCGCGAGAGGTTTCTGAATAGCGCTGATCGGTCTGACAAAGAATTACGAACTGAAAAAGCTTTTGACTAGATCAGTGGTTCTCAACCTGTGGGTCGGGACCCCATTTGGGGTCGATCGACCATTTCATGGGGGTCGCCAAGCAAGGCTGTCCGCCATTTTTTTTGTCCGCCATTTTTTCCCCTTTTCCGGCGGGTGCCTTACCTCCCTTGGGCTGGGCCAGCTGGTGGTCGGCCTGCTCCGTCTCTGCCGCTTGCCAGCTACGCCTCGGCCGGCGCAGGGGGCGGAACCACGCATGCGCGGCGCTCCCGGGCAGGGAAAGTCCTCGACTTACAACCGGTTGGGTAGTCCTCGACTTATGACCAGTTTAGTCCTCGACTTACGACCGGTTTAGTCCTCGACTTACGACCGGTTTAGTCCTCGACTTACGACCAGTTTAGTCCGAAGTACGACCGGTTTAGTCCTCGACTTACAACCGGTTGGGGTCGCGGCATTAAAAAGGTTGAGAACCACTGGACTAGGTGAAGTCATTCTGTTTGGTGGTGGTGGTGGTGGTGGTGGTAGTAGTAGTAGTAGTAGTAGTAGTAGTAGTAGTAGTAATAATAATAATAATAATAATAATAATAATAATAATAATAATAATAATAATAATAATAATAATAATAATAAATGTTTGCAGGCTAGGAATTCAGATTTAATTTTCACTCGTGGAAGATGAGACTGGTCCTTGAGTTCTGAAGCAAGGCTCCGGGGCCTGATCGGAGTGCCTTAAAAATCCAGGCGTGGGGAATTGACGGCGATGAAATTGGCCGCTTCTCTAAAACATCTGTTGGGATGAGGCTGGCGTTCTCTTGTGTTTTATCTATCCTTAAATGCAGAAAATGGAGGCTTCTTGGGTTGAAATGCCCAAACACCGCACGCACGGTTGCTCCTGGTTTGCCAATGAAATATCCTCCCATTGTTGTAGGGGTGGGGGAGTTTATTAAAACAACGCTCCGTGGCTTTTTTTTTAGCGGTTTCTGAAATTCTGCCGTTGAGAATCCTATTCCATGTTTTTACAAAACAAGTCTGTTGTGGTGGCGGGTTCGATGTAAGGAAGGAAGGGAAGGCTTTTGTTTTTCAGTTTTCAAGGGTTGCCTCCAGAAGCGACGAGTCTTCCCTCGAGAAGAGACTGGACAGCCATTTGTCCGGAACGGTGCAGGGTCTCCTGCGTGAGCCCAGGGGGTTGGACTAGAAGACCTCCGAGCTCCCTTCCGGTATTCTGGGCTTTGGATTCCTAGTTGGTTGCCGGAGAAGTTGGAAGGTTTGGACCATTGGCAACTACAAGCAGAGTACGGGAGACGGGAGGTGGACGAGCTTTGCGTGCGCGGGATGCCTTGTGTGTGGCCAGGCCTGCGTTCGGCACCCGCACAATTTCAAATGGGACTGCTTGTACGTTTGCTAGCGTTGCTCTCCGTCGCGGGCAGCCTGGGTGGAAAGTACCAAGCCACGCATGGCGAGGGAACCCAGCTCAGCAAAATGGCTGCCTTCCCTGCTCCTTGGGGGACGGACCCTCCGGATTACTGGGGCTCCCAGAGGAAGAAAGATCTCAAGTCCATCAGGGTTGCTAAGCAGCTCAAAGTGCCGAGCGAGAAGGAGTTGCCTTGGTGGCCCTTTGGGCTTCTTTGGGCTTCTTTAAAGTTACGACTGAGCCGGTTCATCCACAGTTTCCCTTCCATTTCCTTCCCTTCCTTCCTTCCTTCCTTCCTTGCTCCCTTTCATTCCCATCTCCTCCCTATCTCCCTTCCTCCCTCTCTTCCTCCCTCTCATTCCCATCTCCTCCTTCCCTCTCTCCCTCCCTCCTTCCATCTCCTCCCTCTCTCCCTTCCTCCCTTCTTCCCTCTCCTGTCTTCTCCCTCCCTTCCTCCCTCTCATTCCCATCTCCTCCTTCCCTCTCTCCCTCCCTCTCTCCTTCCTTCCTTCCTTGCTCCCTTTCATTCCCATCTCCTCCCTATCTCCCTCCCTCCCTCCTTTCCTCCCTCCCTTTCTTTCATTCCCATCTCCTCCCTCCCTATCTCCTTCCTTCCTTTCCATCTTCTTTCTTCCCTCTTTCCTTCCCTCCCTTCCTTCCTCTCATTCCCGTCTCCTTCCTTCCTCCCTCCCTTCCATTCCCATCTCCTCCCTCCCTCTCTCAGTATTGTCTGGGTCAGTGATGGAGAACTTTTTAGAGATCGAGTGCCCAAACTGCAACCCAAAACCCACTTATGTATGGTCGGGTGCCGGGTGGGCGTGGCCCATTGGGTGGGCGTGGCTGCGGTGGTAACGGCAGACTGGGTGGGACTCAAAAGTTCAATCAATCAATTCCAACCTTGCGAGATCTTCTTTTTCCCACGAATTGAAATTGAAATTGATTGATTGAACCTTTTTCTCTTTTTTTTTGCAAATGGCGGCGGAGGCCTAAAGCGAAAAGGTTTTATAAAAGCCAAGCTGAAGGCCTAGGACTGGGGCGACGGCGCACGTGCCCACAGAGAGGGCTCTGCGTGCCACCCGTGGCACGCATGCCACAGGTTCACCACCATGGGTCTAGGTTTTGAGACAACTCTGTACAGGGAATGCTTCACAATTCTTACCTCTGACTTCTTACATTTATTTTTTGTCTAATATCAATAGTTCTATTCTGCTGCTGTTTGGCTAATTCATCCATTTCATGTGGGATTAACCTGGAAGTAGTACAAGGACCCTCTTTGTTAATAGGCGAAACTACTTGTTGAAATTGTTTCTTGGGTTTCTTAGGAATGATTTAAGCGGCAAGCGTTTTGAGATTCAGATTAACTTGGAGCACTTGACTCGGAAAGACGGATAATATTTCCTGGGGAAGCTCCAGAGGTGTGCTCTGTGTCCTCCCAATCTAGAGAGGGGGAGGCCTTCTTTTTGGAACAACGATGTTTGTGCTGCCAAGGTGCTTGTTCTCATTAGGCACGATAAAGCAAATTTCCCCTATAATTGCATTAGTGATACGTGACATTCAGGCTTAATTGGATATTATTTAAAATACCGTGCACATTAATTTCCTTCGGATTGTGAAAATGGAAAAGGTCACGAGTGCAGTTTCATATTCCTGGGTGAGAGATTTCAATTTTAGTGCAATTTGTTGAGAATTAATTAGGAAATATGACCAAAAGGAGAAAAAAAAAAAAAGGTTGTTGAATACAAATAAGGCTGGTACGTTCCCCGATTCCAAAACAAAAAAAAACAACCCTTGGACCGTTAGGAAAGCCCCATTGAAAATTCAACCAGGGTACAAAGAAGTTTTAAAGCATTCTGTTTTGCAGGAGAACTGCTTTAAAAAAACAATTGTACAGCCATTATGCCTTTTAAAAATAATAATAATAACATTTCCCTGGACTTTTTTTTGTAGGAGATAGATGAAGCCTGCAAGAGGATAAAGCGTGAAATTGACGACCTGGGCCCTGAAGTGGGTGACATTAAAATCATCCCCTTATATTCCACACTTCCCCCTCAGCAACAACAGAGGATTTTTGAGCCCCCACCTCCCAAAAAGCCAACTGGTGGGATAGGACGGAAGGTAAGTTCACTAAAGCTTTATTATTATTTTAATCCCTGTTTTTAGCACTATACTCCAACAGGACTTTACAATAAAAAAAAATGCATAAAAGGCCCAGTAAGGTAGTTTCTGACTGGAGGGTGGGGAATAATGGAAGGATTTATACTCCTTGTAGACAGCTGGTCCTTTGCCTCCTTTTAGAGAGTCGTTGAGGCCACTTGGAGGGTGGGGAATGGAAGGATTTATACTCCTTGTAGACAGCTGGTCCTTTGCCTTTGAGAGAGTCGTTGAGGCCACTTGGAGGGTGAGGAATAATGGAAGGATTTATACTCCTTACAGACAGCTGGTCCTTTGCCTTCTTTTAGAGAGTCGTTGAGGCCACTTGGAGGTCTACCTGTGTCCTCAGGGTCCCCTGAGTGGTGCAAATGGGTGGGGAGCCTTCTTGGAACTTCTGAAAGGACTGTGTGTTGTGGAGTGGAAATAGATGATGTCGTGTCCTTCCCCCTCTGTTCAGTTTTGACCTAGATGGCCTCTTTGACCCCTCTCTCAAACCAGGGGTCCTCTCGGTCCAAAATGTGGACGTGGCCTTGGCCTTTCAAATGTAGACGGACCGCTGACTCTTGTCCTGGTGGCTTTGTTCTCCTGTGTTGTGCCCTGCGTTTGTGAAGCGGCTGTTTTTGTTTCCCCAGTGTACAGATCTGCACGTGTCTCCCTGCATTGTACTGTGTCACAACCACGAGCTGAATGGCTGGAAAAATCTCCCATAGACATTAAACCCATGCAGGGTTTATTCCTTAGCTAGTTAACCTGCTCTGTGGGACCAGTGGGGTGTGCATGACACTGATGGCACTATGTCCTGACAGGGTCCATTGCCTTTTGCATTGGGGGGAATAAGCCTCTGTGACGTAAATAGACGGCTGGACGCATATTTCAAGTTGACCAAGCTAGGGCAGTAGTAAGTTACGGTTATCCTGTTACGAACTCATGGTCGTTTTCCATTTTTTCCCCCTCCCTCAAATTAAGAACACTGGCTTTGTTTGCTAAGTTTGGTCCAAGCATACAAACATTGGAG